GTTGTACTTTTGTTCTTCATCCTCATGTATAATGCAGTAAGCTATCCTCTCGATCCGTTATTTGTATCTTTTTAGGTTATAGTGAAGGTAAAAAGAGGTATCATTATTTTGATCTAATAACTCAAAAACTTTATGTGTCTCGTTATATTATCTTTCTTAAGCATATACATTTCTTTTCTATTTCATTCACTATTCATAACCTAACTAAACTTGATCTTATTCAGATAAACCCCTTTTCTGAGGATTCTAATAATAATACCTTTTTCCATGTTCGACTAATTTGTACTCATAACTCTATAAGTACTGATACTTTACTCTCTAGCACACCTGAAGCTCCATTCTCATCTACAACCCCTCAAACTTCATTTGAGATTGCAAATCCACCTCTATGTCAGTCCATCCATATTTGTAAGTACATAAAGCGAGACAGGAAAACTCGTCTGGGATATGGGCGGACGAGAATTGGGGCTGTTAAGGAATTCAGCAGCGTAAACACTGGGAGCTTGCGGGCAGATGGGAATTCGTTCCTCTACCTCATGGTAAGAGTGTTGTTAGTTGTTTTTGGGCGTATACAATCAAGACTAATTCTGATGGGTTTATTGAGCGATACAAAGCTAGGCTGTTTGTAAAAGGATACTCTCAACAATATGGTATGGACTATGAGAAGATATTTGCTCTTGTTGTAAAAATAACTACTATTCATACTCTTATTATTGTAGCTTTAATTCGTTAGTGGCATATTTCTCAGCTTAATGTTAAAAATGCCTTCTTGAATGGAGATCTTCAAGAAAAAGTTTATATGGCACCTTCTTCTGGTATTTCACATGACTTTGGATATGTTTGTAAGCTTAAAAAATCATTATGTGGTCTCAAACAAGCATCCCGTGCTTGATTTGAGAAATTTTCATTGTGATCTCATCTCTTGACTTTGTTTTTAGTAGTCATGATTGTGATATTTTTATTAAGTGTACTGATGCAGGCCTTATTATTTTGTCAGTCAAACTATGATATAGATATTCTTGAGTGGGCTAGATTTGTTGATAACAAGACTGTAGATACTTTTATTGAGGTTAGCGTAAGGTATTATTCTTACGATGGTTTACCTCTAATAGATCCTATTTTATATCATATTATTTTTGGGAGCTTGGTATATGTCACCATTACTCGTCTAGATATTATATATGTTATTCATGTTGTTAGTCAGTTTGTAGCTTCTTCTACTCCTGTTCATTAGGCAGTTATTCTTCGTATTTTGTGATATCTTCGGTTTACAATTTTTCAGAGTCTTTAACTTTCATCTACCTCTTTCTTGAAGCTTCATGCATACTCTGATACTTATCATGGTAGTGATCCCGTAGATCACAAGTCTGTTACTGGGTTCTGTATCTTTTTAGGTGATTCTTTTATTTCTTGAAAGAGTAAGAAACAATCTATTATTTTTGAATCATCCACCGAAGTAGAATATCATGTCATGACATCTACTACCAAAGAGATTGTTTGGTTACATTGGTTACTTGCTGATATGGGAGTTTGCTTTTCTCATCCTTCTCCTATGTATTGTGACAACTAGAGTTTTATTCATATTGCTCACAACTCAGTTTTTCATTAGCAAACAAAGTATATTGAGATTAATTATCATCTTACTTGTCATCATCTCAAGCATGGAACCATTACTTTGCTTTTTATTTCTTCTTCTTTGCAGATTGTAGATTTTTTTACCAAAGCGCATTCCATCTCTCGTTTTTGTTTTCTAGTTGGCAAACTTTAAATGCTTATAGCTATTGCATCGTGAGTTTGTGAGGAGATGTTAAATAACATTTATGTAGATTTTTTTATTAAGTGTAGAATAGTATTTTCAGTTTCACCTATATATACTTTCTTTGTATTTATGTTAACACCAAACACTCATAATAAACAGATCATTGAGAATTTTACCCTTCTTTTTGTGTTTGATCTTAATTGTTTTAACACATTCCACTTAAAATAATTATATCATTTCACTTTAGATAATATCAATGCTAAAACTATTACATAGCTCTAGATAAAATATTTCAACCAACCTAATTACACATAAAGCCAATATGAAACATAATAAGAGTTGACTCTCAATCTTATGAAGTGTGGTTTAACTGGTCAGTCTTTAGATTTGCTCCCTAAATGTTACCAGTTCGAGATTCACAAATCTCAAGACCACTAGAGGCTTACATCGTCATTAACTTAAAGACCCGTGAAATTAATCAAGTTGTGCAAGCTAGTCTGAACACCCATATTAATTTAACAAAAAAATAAACTATCATATTAGACATTTAATGCCAAAAATAGTGTCAAATTATAAGAAATATCTAAACTACAATATAATATTTCTCCCAACAAACTGGTCTATTCACGTTACTAGCTAGCAAGATTGCAGATGACACAATTAAGTATAGGATGGATGTTTAGTGCACTACCAGTTTCTCCATTTCACAAGGTAAAAACTTTTGGAATTAATTTTGAAGTTTATATTTAAATTTAAAGTGTCTTTTAGTGTCTTTTAGTTTTTTTAGGTGTCTTCTAGATGTATATATGTAATTATTAAATATGTATTTATCTTTTAAGTCTCTTGAATTGTCCTAAATTAGTATAAATATATATTTAAAGTATTATAAGTGCAATTCCAAGTCTATAAGGGCATCTTCTTTTAAAATAATAACATAATATGAATAAGATTAATTTGTTTTTCACCATGCTTTCCATGTTCTCATTTTTCCTTTTCTCCTTCAAATATTCCAAACTCATGGAAAACGAGTTCTAATATGACCGAGAACAAAATTTGCATTACCTTCAAAATATCTATACTGTATGCAAGTGGCTCCTGCTCAAAATTTTTCTTTAGAATTAAGATCTTTTTGTCAGCGTGATTCATTTTTTTATTAGAGTTGAATTGACAAGAGTGAGTGAGACTCAAACTTGAGACCTCCCCCTCGTACTTGTGTAAGAGTAACAGTGAGCTTGTGGAAAAAAATATATACCATGGATGTGCTCAACATTTATCGATCGTCATATTAGTTTATATCTTATCAAAGTTTCAAGTTCTTTGTTATAGTAAATCCAATCAAAGTACAGAAGAAAACCTAAACATTCCTCATTTAGTATAAACAATGTTTTAATGAATAGAGTTGAAAATAGACTGCTTATATTTTCATTGATAGCTTGCATAGCATCTATAGAAGCTAGAAAATGGATCCTAGGTGCTGGAGCGATGATTCTTTCAGGTTGAAGGTTTACAGGTTAGTACACAAGAGTAAGAAAGAGAGATGTTGACGCGGTCTCGTCTCTTGGATGCATGCAGGATTTTCCTAACAGGGATGATGGGCAAAGCAATGCATTGCGAACATGATTTAAACATTAACCTATCAAGTCCATAAACCCTAACAAATCTAAGCTGCTGCTCAAAATGATACAAGGAAATGGTGGTAGAGATAATAATCATTTCATTTGACTTCTCCACATCATCTGTCAGGCCATCCATGTTTGTGTACAGTCCTGTTTGAGCAGTGCAAGAGATTCAAAATGGTTAGCTACAATGGTATAAATACGTGGTATAAACTAAAGCTACCAAGCATGGAACCGATTGATTTCGATAAGAAAATGAAACTTTACACCTAAATGCATTTTCTATCTCTATGGTACAGAGAAAATCAAGCAAACTAATAACCTTTTATTTGATTAATATACTGAATAGCTTAATGTAGCAATCGGACACTCAGAAAAGAATGAATTTCAAAACTTCTCTGTCATGAAAAGTACCACCGACTTGTGTGCCAAAAACAAATATTTCCAATATAAAAAACAGCCTTCAATTGAATTTAAATATAATATTTAAATCGAAAAATTATTTCGGGACTTCTATATTTGAATGCGATAACATTTCCCTCCGTCTTTCAAAAGATTACACGTTATTAACCTAGTCAATGCTTTTGCATCAGAGTACACAAATTTTGATTTTAATAAAAACATGTTTTTTAATCATAAGTATTGTTTTTTTAAATAAAACTCTTATTTTCATTGGATAATCATTATCAATTTTTTAGATACATAATATTTGAAAAAGAAATTGTTTTTTTTTCCTATTCTTTTCTTTAATATTGAGTTATTTTGTAATTGTGCTTTGTAAGTTTTTTTAATTTTTTTATGTTGGGTTATTTATTTGTCTAATATATTTAGTTTTTTTTTTCAATTTCAATGCTTAATATTAGAATTGTTTGGAGTAAGGCATTATTATATTTGGTTTTTACTTTTTATGAATTTATTTTAATTTTATTATTCATAAGCTTAAAAAGTTAACCTAAATTGATCTAGGTTGTCTTTTTTTTTTTTACTATTGTTTTAAATGATTTAATTTTTTATTTTAATATTAGATTACTTAAAAGTTAGGTTTTATTTTTTTAATTTTTTATAGAGTTATTTTAATCTAATAATTTAATAATTTAGGTTAGGAGATGATGAGATGTGCTTTGGCCATAATCTAAATGGATCTATGTTGTTGTGCAATGATAATTACAAGCTACAAGTGAGGGACTGGATCACAGAAGGTCAAGATAGCCTAACTGACCCAGGCGAAAGTTTGACAGATAAAGGTATTGCTTGTGAGCTTGTTAGACACTACAGTATTAATATACTGTTATCCTTGTTTATGTGTAGTCTCTTCTTTATGATTCGATCGAACTCATTCTAGGACACTTTATCCAGCAGTTTATCATTACATTTAGCAAGTACTATTCTTTACCAACATAAATTAGTTTGCCCTTTGGGAAAGGAAAGCAAGAAAAATGAAACCTCAAAGTTAGATTGATATGGCGGCTCTCCAATTGCAGACTTCAGGCAGATTCAGGCTTGGTATATACTTTTTTCTTTTTACAGGGCAAGAATATAAGTTGCATGGTTCTAGTGCAAGGTATTTGTCTTCTTTGTCGATGTATACGATTCTTCAAACCCAAGAAAATGCTGGGCTGTCCCTGAATTAGCAATTAGTATGCAAAGTACCCCCTAATAAAATCGGTGGAAAAAGTGAACAGAAGTTGGCTGATCGAGACGCCGATAACAAGTGTATGATGGCTTTAGCCAATCCGGGGGCAATCCAAATAAATAAACTTCTGTTATTTGAAGCTTGGTATTTGGCTTCTTTGTTTCTTTTGCCTTGTTTGGTTCATATTTTGGCTAGAGTTTTCTTATCATTAAATGGAACACGTTCTGATATAGGTGGCGATAATGACTTTCCAGGTCTTCTTATTTTCTTGATTCATAATCCATACTTAATATATAGATACTTAATGCATCCGCCAACCAACTAAATTCCTACTGAGAGTCAAATCCCATTTTACATTTATACTAATGCACATTTAGTCTCAAGCAGCACATATCGTAACACCATAGTGTATAATATGAGCTCCCAATATGGTCTCTGGCATTGACCTTCAAATTCTGACAACGTACCAGAGAATTCTTCCAGTAAGAAATCCCATCATGGTCTTGCAGGGCCGGAAGGTCAACTCAGATAGAACTTGTCATACTTCCTCCCGGCAACATCAGAGATTAATTGCAATCAGGTCAGCTTGGCTTGTTGAATTAGCACAAGTAATTAAAACGGTGACTTCGTTTATGTGGATTCAAGGGCGTAGCCAGGAATTTTTTTATTTTGGATTAATAAATAAATAAAAATTATTTTTTAATATTTATTATTGAATAAACACTTTGATTTCAGGCTTTTTATTTTCTATCACTTTATTAATAATGTATAAAAAAATTTGTATTATAAATTAAAAGATGAACTAAGAAACCATACTCCATACCGATGGAAGTTAAGCAGGTAACAAAAATATGATAAGTGCATGAAATATCATGAAGTTCGCTTGAGTATTTATTTATTTATTTTTATTAATATGGATATCTGGATCAGCTCACATATACTTCGACTAATTTTACGGATCCTGAAGTTAAGGACCATATAAATTTTTAGTGGTCTTAAAATTTATGAGATTCAAACTAGTGGAAACGGTGACTTCGTTTATGTGGATTCAAGGGCGTAGCCAGGAATTTTTTTATTTTGGATTAATAAATAAATAAAAATTATTTTTTAATATTTATTATTGAATAAACACTTTGATTTCAGGCTTTTTATTTTCTATCACTTTATTAATAATGTATAAAAAAATTTGTATTATAAATTAAAAGATGAACTAAGAAACCATACTCCATACCGATGGAAGTTAAGCAGGTAACAAAAATATGATAAGTGCATGAAATATCATGAAGTTCGCTTGAGTATTTATTTATTTATTTTTATTAATATGGATATTTGGATCAGCTCATATATATTTCGACTAATTTTACGGATCCTGAAGTTATGGACCATATAAATTTTTAGTGGTCTTAAGATTTGTAAGATTCAAACTAGTGATCTTTAGAGATCAAACCTAGAACCTGAACAATTAGACTACACTCCTCATGGTTGATTGAGTATTTATTTGCTACTATAAGATGGGGCTAAAGAGTAGAGAGCATTTGGGAACGCGGTGCAAACCGCGTTCCCTTAAAATTTATTTTTTTTACTAAAAATTAATTTTTTTGGTATGTTTTGAATCATTTAGATACGTTGATTTCAAAAATAATTTTTAAAAAATAAAAAAACATCATTTTGATATATTTCTCGAAACTTTTTTTATTAAGGCTTTGTCAATTAAAGTAGATGTTTTCCACTTTGCTTGATCACTTGCCTGTGAAAATTAAATAATATTTTAATATAAATTAGGATTAGTTTGTTTGCGAAGTTGTTTTTTACTTAAACCAACCACAATAAAACAAATATTTGGTAATACTTCAAATATAATTTTTTACTAATATAGCCTACTATTAACTATAGCATAGTAAAGTAACAAGTTTATAAGAACTCTTTTATTGTTTTTTTGCCAACAAAACTCATGAGCTCCACTATTTTGGCTGATCCGGTTCAAAATTAAAAATACATTGAATTAAGTCCGACTGAATAAAATAAAAAATATTTTTTATTTTTAATTGTATTTTATTCAAAAAACTAGTGTTAAATATTATTCAATGACATTATATAAATTAAACGGAGATCATTTAATAACATAACATTTACAAAATTTGATCATAATCTCAATTTTGTTCCTCACATTGTTCCGCTTTCAAGAAATTTAATGAAACAATAAAAAATATTTTATAAAATCCTAACCAAAAACTTCTGTAGTTTTCTTGAGCTGCAGATAATATCGGTGTTAACACATACGGGAGAAATTTTACCTTCGAGAGACAAAAGGCACCACCCCAAATGTTAGTCCACATGCTGCTTGGCAGAATAAAGAGAACACAATCATCACCGCAATGGACGGGCCTAAAGATCCAACTCGTCCAAGTATGATGCAGAAAACACCTCCCAAGGTCTGCACTATCCACAAAGCCCACAACCTCCCCCTCATTCCAAACCTCTTCGCTACTGCATCTGAGATCATTCCACCACCTGGTCGAGAAACAATGTTTGCTAGACCAAAGCTTGCTGCAATGATTCCTGCTGTATGGAGTTGGAGGTCAAATCTGTCATAGAAGTATTCTGCGACAATGTTGTCTATTGTCAGCTCTACCCCAAAACAATACCCATAACTGAGTGCCAGGATCCACCCTCTGTAATTTGTGATTCCATGATAGAAGACATTGGAGAATTTATCTTTTGTTTTATCCCCTGCTTTCTGCAGCCGCCTAAAGTTTCCGTCCGGCAAGTCCTTGCCAAAGATCAAGACTGCAAACGCCGATAGTGTCTGAAACAGGGCAGGAATGAAAAAAGCAATTCTCCAAGCTGTGAATTTGATGGCTCCAATGTCACGGATGAGGGCAAACACAAGGGGCATGATTAGTTGCGTTGCCCCGCCGCCAAGATTACCCCAACCTCCTGCAACCCCATTAGCCGTGCCGACTACGGGGGCTGAAAACATAGAGCTCATCCAGAATTGAGTCGAGACAAAAGTGGACAGAGAGAAGCCAGTGAAGAAACGCACCAGGAGAAAAGAAGTAGAAGATGAGGCGATGGAAGTGAAGTAAACTGCTGGTGCGGTGAGGAGGATTAATGAGGCAGAGGCTAGACGGGGTCCAAAAAGGTCACAAGCAGTCCCCATAGCAACTCGAGCAAAAACCGCACCTGACACTGATGCAATGCCCGCATTACCAATGTCAGAGGCAGTGAGGTTGAGGTTGTCACGTATGATAGGAAGAAGGGGTGGAGCAGCAAAAGTAGAGACAAAACAGGCAAAGAAAGAAACCCAAGACAGATGGAATGCCCGCATGTGAGGGGCAGCTACTGAGAATAGCCGGAACTCAGTTGCCTTGTGTTCTGAATCCACTGGAAGAGCGAATTTTGGAGGGTGAGATTCCTTTACAGTGGCTTGCCCTTCGATCTCCATCTTCTTGTCTATGAAAGAAAAAGGGAAACGCGGTGGGATGCTCCTAGTTTTCCTTCTATGCAGGAAAGAAATAGCTTATTCCTTTGGTGAGCCTTTTCCTATTATATATAGTATTTCTGGTAACCAACTGGTGGCTCTTTGCATGTCAGAGAAGCAAGAGTATACATTGACCAGGCAAAGAGAGAAACCCTTGAAGAGTGGATTTTTGGAGGATGACGTTCCCTTTACGGTGGCTTGTGTGGGTGAAAAATAACGAGTATGCTTGGTTCTTAGTTCCTGTAAATAGTGAATACCGATGTCATCATGTTTGATTAGAATGGAAAAATATGTGTAGTCAAATCCAACTATCTGGCAGAAACTGGCGTTTGTCAATATTGAGATTATTATAGTTTAAATACATAAAATTACCAAAGGCTACTTTGATATTTAAACGATTTGAGGCATTTGAGCTCCAACTCCAAGTGAGAAACTCCTGGTACTATTATACTCTTAGTTTTACTGCTCTTATCTACTATCATTTATTAAAAACTTACTGATTTGAGCACCGAAGTGGCCTCTCTCATGGAACATGCCCATGAACTCTAGCTATTTTGTAGGTCTTGGCCGATCGATTAATTAACCTAATCTTTCACTTGATCATTCTCATGTACACCAAGATTCATGCATCAACATTCTAATCATAGCTAAATGATCTATCATCATTATTTGATGATATTGACAGAATAATTATTGTTGTTGATCAACTCATTTTCTATGCAGGAGACTATTATCGTGCCACCAAGATGTATGCATCAACATTCTATCATAGCTAGATGATATCTCATCCTTATTGACCGACTCATTTAGGTATATGTGACCATTCATGTGTCCATCAAGATTTACGCATCAATATTTTATCAGAGCTGAAACGATCTACCACTGTTATTGACCCACGTATTATTATTCCTCATCAATTCATTTTCTACACATGAGATCACGTATGTGTTCACCATGGTCTATGCTTCAACGTGCATTATAGAAATTCGTGCGAATTTATTACTTCACGCCGCAGTCTATGACCTTGGCGATTGCGCAAAAGCACAAACCAATGGCTCTTTGTAGCAAAGAAAAAGCAAGGTTTGGAACTTGGAGGTTTATACTTCCGCCGAGTCCCATTTATTAGTCCTCTTCTACGGTGCCTCCTCACGAAACGTATGGAAGTTCTACGGCATGGAATTGAAGAAGGGTTGCTAGGCGACAGCTGCCAATGGAAAGAGACGAAGGGAACAAGTTGTACGCCTCCAGCTACTACGTATTGACTTCGGGGTTTTGGAAAGCGACCAAGCAATAGATAACAACGAATTGCATTCTTTGATTTGCTAAGCAGTGTTTGCTAGTACACGGACGAATCTGTACCGATCCTGTTCTTGTCCGTTCCTCTGTGATTTTCAAGATGATATTCACGCCCAACCGTGATTTCAGAGCTTGAAGGAAACAAACACATCAAACTACTTAACCACATTGGGCATTCTACTTGGCTTGTTTCAAAACATGGATTTTGAAATAATCATTCAAACCTTGTCAGTCAGCATTGTTTGTTTATTTAAGTCAATACTAGTAGTTCACTAAATTATTTGGCCACTAATTAATACGCGGTCACAAGTTTAATTGTTTCACTTCATAGTTTCTTAGTGGAGACCACATTTGTGACATGCGCTTTGCCGCGGTTGGGTAGAATTTAACCACATAAAAAAAGAATGCTATGCAAATGAAATCATGAGAAGAAGTTATTATTATTGGTTTAAGTGATAATTTAAATAATATGATTAAAAAAATATTATAATAAATAAATTGGTAAAAAAATAAAAATAAAAAAAAAAGGTGAAAAGAACTCAAACTGAGTTTAATCAGATTATCAAGCAACTCAATGTTAAAAAATAAAACTAAAAAAATTAAAAAAACAACAAAAAATACCTTAGTTAAATGATGTTGCTATCCATTGTTAAAACCCGAAAAAAAAAATATATATATATATACAAGAGAATACACGTTAAGAAAGCTTAAAAAGAATCACTCAAGTTTGCTGGTGAAAGTCAAAATGTCAGGTAAAAGTTGGTAAATCAAAATGTCCACAATCAACAAAATTAGCAACCTAATTTGATTGACAAAGGATCTCATTAGTGAAAATGCTTTATTTGGGTGTTTAAGGACTCAATTTAATTTTTGAAAGGTTTAATTAAATTCATTAAGGACTTAATCACAAGGAAAATCAACTTTTGGAGTCAATTTGGATGTTAACTAAAACAAATTGAAGTTTGGGTACTAAAATTAAACTTTGAAAAGTTTAATTAGTTAAATGAGAGGTTTAATTGCATAAAATTTAAAGTCTGAAAAGCAATTAGGGACTTAATTAAACAATTCATGACCAAGAAATAACTTGCAAAAGGTTATACGACTTCAGGGATTGAAATTGGTGAAACCAAGGGTCAAATCAAAGAAAATTAAAAGTTTAATGGTCATCTAGGAATCTAATTGAACATATCAGAGACCAAGGACTAACTTGTAAAAGATGCTCAAATTTAAGGCAAACAATTAAATCTAATAGGGATGCAATTGCATGAAATTAGGAATTTAGGGGAAATTTCAAGTAAAATTAAACGGAATTGGAAAAATAGGGATTAAATTAAAGATTGTCAAATCCCAAATCAAAAAACCAGTTATAAGGATCCATGATAATTTGGCTAATATTTGAAATAACCAATTTTTTTAATTCATAAGAATTAATGGTCAATATTCTAGTATAGAATGTTGGATTTATAAGTAAGGCTAGTATTTAAATATCAGGAATTGTCCAAAAAATCTCAGAGTTATTCTAAATATTTAATAAGTTTAATTAGAAGTATTTTTTTTACTACAATATCAATTACGGAAAACCCTTTTCATAAGAATGAGCCTATAATAAATTCTTAACACCAGATTTATTCACATAAATAAATTTGAGTTTTAAGTCAATAAATAAATTATTGATTAGAAACCCATCAAAGCCTTTAAACCACATTGAAAACCATATAATGCAACTTATATCAAGTAAGATGCGTTAGATGTGCTAATATCTTTTTTAGCCACAATTAGTTTTTTTACCCTTAGAATATCCGATAAAACTAGTATACCTATGTTTTTTAGTGATCGAAAACAAACAATTAGGGTTAATTCGTAAACTTTATAGCCATGAACATGAGATTAAGATAATTTCATAAAAAGAAATACAGGAAAAAAAGTTCAAAGACCATTTTTTAATAAATAAAATAAGAATATAACTTCACATAAAAAAAAATTATAAGAAAACATATGAATCTTAATATCTAGCAAATAAAATGTTAAAGATGAAAATTAAAAAAATAAAAAAAAGATCAAAAAAATCGATTCGATCCCACTCAGGTCAAGATACAAAATATCTTACTTGGTCATGATACCAAGGTGACTACATTCAAAATCAAATTGAATAAAATCATAAAGATTAATTATCAAACAACTTAATATTAAAAGATAAAAAAATTAATTTAAAAAAGGAATGAAAAACATATGAGTCAATATGGGTTAATTTGTAAACCCCACAAAAATAGTATAACATTGAGATAACCTAATAGAGAGGAAAGAAAAAAAAACAAAGGCTAATTTCAAATAAATCAAATATTGAAAGATAAAATTGAATTAAATTGATTTAAAAAAGGACCTGAAAAAAATCAATCAACAATAACCTTTGAAATCTGTGACTCTAGTTATGAACTTCGAACTAATCCTATAGCAATGAAAAAAATAATCAAAGTTAATTTGGGTTAACTCATAAACTCTATAATTATGAACATGAGATTAGGATATCGCAGTAGAAAAAATAGAAAAAGAAAAAGATAAGATAAAA